TAATGATGATAACCATAATAATGACAATAATGATAATAATAATCATAGAATCCATTTCTAATTAAATAAAGGCTAAAACTAATAAAATCTCAAAAGTCGAGAAGGTCGAGAAAACCCCTTTCTCGCTTTTAAATTATAATCATGACGATTTAAATATCAATTCAGGTAATTATGATGATTTTCCGTGATAATTCCTTTTATCATTAACAATAATGATGATGATTATGATGATAATGACAATATTCTATATATATATCTATATATATATATATATATATATATATATATATATATATATATATATATATATATATATATATATATATATATATATATACACACACACACACACACACACACACCACACACACACACACAACACACACACACACACACACACACACACATATATATATATACTATATATATATATATATTATATATATATATATAATATAGATATATATAATATATAGATATTCAGATAATAGATAACTGCTATAATGATAATGATAATCATGACGATAATGAAAATAATGATAATCATACGAATAATGACAATAATAATAATAATCCTAGAGTCCATTTATAATGAAATAAAGACTAAAACTAATAAAATCCCAAAAGCCGAAAAAAAACGCAAAATCTAGCGTATTACAGCCTTTTGAGAGAAAGGTCGAAACATTTTCATGATAATTCCTTCATTATTAACAATAATGAGGATAATTATGATGATAATAATAATAAAATAAAAATGATAATTATGATGATAATAAAAATTAAATAAAAAAATGATAATTATAATGATAATTTTGATAATTACTGCAATAACAGCAATTATTAACTCTATTCTAATAATTTTCATACTAATAATGACAAAAGAAATAATATAATTGTTTTTATAATGAGTATTATTGTAATTATTATTTCTAAAATTATCATAATAATCATTATGACTCCAATAATGATAATGATAATAATTGTAATCATGACGATAATGACTATAAATGATAATCATAAGAATAAGGACAATAATGATGATAATAATAATCATGGAGTCCATTTATAAAGAAATAAAGGCTAAAACTAATAAAATCCCAAAAGTCGAAAAACGGAAAAATCTAGCATATTACAGCCTTTTGTAAGAAAGGTAAAAAAAAAAAAAAACTGTTTCGCTTTTAAATGATAATTATGATGATTTTAACATTAGTTCAGGGTAATGAATATTCATGATAATCATTTTAGTATTAACAATAATGATAATTATGATGCTACTGACATAATAATGATAATAATAATAAAATTATAATTATAAGGTTAATTGTCATAATTACTGCAATAATAACAATAAATTAACTCTATTCTAATAACTTTCATACTAATAATAACAAAAGAAAATAATAATAATATTATTATTGTGATATTCATAATAAGTATTTTTGTCATTATTATTTTTTGACATTATAATTATAATTATCATTATAAAAATAGTTACAATGATGAAAATGACTAATAATTAGCATAATAATCATTATATACTACAATAATGATAATGATAATAATGATAATCATGAAGATAGTGTCTATAATGATGATCATAAGAATAATGACAATAAGGATGATAATAATCATAGAGTCCATTTGTAATGACATAAAGGCTAAAACTAATAGAATCCGAAAAGACGAAAAACGGCAAAATCTAGCGTATTACAGTCTTTTGAAAGAATGGAAAAAAAACTTTCGCTTTTGAATGATAATTATTATAATTTTAACATTTTCATGATAATTCATTTATTATTAACAATAATGATAATTCTGATGATAATGGCAATAATGATAATGAAAATAATGAAATAATAATAATGATAATTTTGTATAATTACTGCAATAATAGCAATAACTATATCTATTCTAATAATTTTCATACTGATAATGACAATTGAAATAAAACTATCATTATTATTATTATAATGAGCATTATTGTTATTATTTCTAAAATTGTCATTATTGTTAATATCATTATAAAAATTATAATGAAAATGACTAATAATTAGAATAATAATCATTACAATTGTAATAATAATCATGATATTGACTATAATGATGATAATCATATGAATAATAACAATAATGATAATAATAATCATAGAGTCCATTTATAATAAAATAAAAGAAAACTAATAAGATACCAAAAGTCGAAAAAATTGCAAAAATCTAGCGTAAGCTTCTTGAGTAAAGGGCGAAAAAAAATCTTTTTCATTTTTTATATGATAATTAAAATGATTTTAACTTTAATTCAGGTAATTATGATTTTCATGATAATTTCTTTATTGTTAACAATTATAGTTATTTTCACTCATTATTGCAGTTATAATAATTATTGTGCTAATTAATATTGCCATTTTTTATCATTATAACTATTATTATAATTAATTTATTTATATCAGCAATAATGATAATTTTAGAAATAATAATGACAATATCGATAATCATAATGACA